TTACTATAGTTTGCCTAGGGTGGACTTTTTTTCATTTATTCTGCTTAGTGTTCACTGGGTTTTTTGACTCTGGCTTAGTATCTTTCAATTCTGGCAAATTCTCAGCCATTATTTCTTTTAGTACTATGTCCTTCCCCAGCCTTTTCTGGAATTCTAGTTAGATATGTGTTAGACTATCCAACTTTATCTCCCATGTTTCTTAACTTCTATTTTCTAATTTCCATTTCTGTCTCTTAAGGATGGATTCTAGATAATTTCTTGAATTCAACCTTCTGATTAATTTTTCTCAGCTCTGTCTAATGTGCTGGTAAACCTGCCTAGGGAAATTACATTTCTATTATTATTTTTTTGGTGTCTAGAAGTTCTGCTTAGCACTTAAATCTTCTTGCTCTCTACCACATTTCCAATCCTCTCTTTCATTTCCAGAAATTAAAGTAAGGACTCTTATTTTATATCCTAGGCTTGACAATTCCAGTATCTGAATTAGGCAGTCTGATTCTCTGCTATCTGTTGTTTTTACCTTGCTCTTGGCATGGTCTCTTATTTCCCTTTATACAAGTGTTTCTGATTGTAAGTACTCATTTCCTTGGAACTATTTATTTCTATTCCTCTCCATTTTTTTCTAATATTCCTATTAGTTGGATTTTGACCTTCCTGCTTTGACTATATATCTTAACTCTCTATCATATTTTCCATCTGTATTTTGCTTTATATTCAGAAAAAAAGTTTTTAACTTTATATTCCAGATTCTAGACTTACACTATTTCCCATCCCTCCTGTTGATTTTTTTTTAGTTTTGTCAATCATATTTTTAATTTTCAAGTGTTCATTTGTCCTATACTTACTTCTTTTGACATACCAATCTGTTCTTTTTATTCAATGCCAATAATCTCAAATCTTTCTGAAGCCTGTAATTAAACTTGTAACTTTTTTCTTCTTTTCCTTGAATGAGCTAGATTTCCTCGGGGGCCATCCTTTTCTTTTGTGTTCATTAGTTATACATTCGTATTTTTGAATAACAGGTTGGTTAGCAAAGGTAATTGATGTGGATTTCCTGCATCAGTGTACTGATCAATTTTTCTAACACATCTATCCCTTGTAGGGAAGGGCTGATTTACAGCTCTCTCTAAGTGGACAGGTTATGCTGACTGGAAGGCTTTATTTAGGGTTCTGAAAAGAGAAGCCTATAAGCCAACTGGGAGCCCAAACCCTCTGTCCATCCACTTCCCCAACAAAAATAGAAAATTTCAAGGAACTTTCTGGGGGAAATTTTTAGAGGATATTTTTTGTAGAATATTTTTAGAGAATTTATGGAAACTTTTTCTTTCCCTCTAGAGAAAAGTTGACCCTTTAAATCTATCGCTTATCTATGTCTTCTTTAAGGTCTAGTATCATTTTAGACTCCTGCTATTCCATTTCTTTCTTAGGTATCAGTTCCCAAGTAGGAGTTCTAGTCAACTGTTCATTTTTTAGCAAATGTTACTACATCTTTTGGTTTTATTGAGAGGAAAATCAGATTGAAAACTCTGCTTATGAAATCAGTGAGGATGTGGGTGGAGGGGTAATGGGTGGAAAAATGGCCCAGGTGTTCCCATCTTTGCTGGTAATTCTCCTGGCTGGGTCCAGGTGAAATCTGGAGTTTTTCCTGGGGATCCCCCGGGCTATTCCTACCACCACTAAAGCTTGTTCCCATTTGTTTTTTCTTTTGTATGTTATAACCTTCCCTGCTCAGCATTATTTTTCAGTAGAGTCCTATTACTTTCTGTTTTCCAGAAATGTAACTAAATTTCTGGTTTGCTGATGGGATTCCTTCCTGTTCTCAGCACTGTTATGGTTTTTTTCCCCCCATTAGTATAGTTTTATGGCTATTAGGCAAGGGAAAAAGTGCTCACACTTGATCTGTCACCCAAACAGAATGTTCTCATAATTCTAAAAAAATGTAGACATAATCTATTCTAATATTTAAGTTACTCAATGCTTAGTAGCTTCCATTATATTCCATTAAGTTCAATTGATCAGTAATTCAGAAAATTGGCAATCTACCTTTTCAAATATTTGGCCTGAAAATCATTTTCTTTTTAATGTATATGCTCTTTCCTCTTATTATCTACATAATAAAGTTTTTCTGATTTCGAAATGAGAATAAAAGCACTGGCCTAAAGTAGTGAGGGTTAGTAATCTATCTACACATATACATTTTGTTTTTGGTTTCTATGAAATTCAGTATTTCTCTTATTTCTTATATGTCCACTAGAGCCATTTCAAACCATAATGATTCAGAAGTGAATAAAAAAATAAAACACAGCACAAGAGATGTTGGTGGGATCCGTTTTCCTAAGGTTTGAAATGTGCTATAATCTACACAAAATGCTCAGATTTGTACATAGGAATATTACCTTTTTATACCTATGTTTGGATTTGTGGGAAAGATTTATTTTCAAAACGGAAAAAATAAATCTACTTACCCCTAGAAAAGAGAAAGTTAACCAAAAAGCTTTTCCTAGATAATGAAATGCCAGAGGGCTTTGTACCACATGAAGAGGGTACCATATCTCACGCCTGTAATCATAACACTCTGGGTGCCTGAAGCGGGTAGATTGCTTGAGCTCATGAGTTTGAGACTAGCCTGAGCAAGACCGAGACTGTGTCACTAAAAATAGCCGGGCACTGTGGCAGGTGCCTATAGTCCCAGCTACTTGGGAGGCTCAGGCAAGAGGATCGCTTGTGCCCAAGAGTTTGAGGTTGCTGTGAGCTATGAGGTAAAAGTGAGACTCTGTACAAAAAGGTACTATATCATGTTCCACAGAAGGGTCTGTTTTTACATAATCTAAATTACCGTGGATATTACAGCATGCAGTAAAAATATGCCAATGCATATAGAAGTCACAGCATATAGTTCTTGGACAACAATTCAATCTCACAGTGAAGTGACAGAAGCAATCTTCTTGGGAGTCAACAGAGTGGGATGGAAATGCTATGTCTTTGGGGCAGAGATCCCTAAATTCAAATCTTAGCTTAAATTTTTTAAATTATGTGACTAAAAAATGTCTAGTTATTAATCTTAGAATCTCTATTTCCTGGTGGTGGCTCACACCTATAATCCCAGTGCTTTGAGAGGCTGAGGCAAGAGGCCAAGAGGTCAAGACCAAGGTTGAGTAACACAACAAGACTTTGTCACTACAAAAAATAAAACAAGAAAGTTAGCCAGGCAATGCACTCTGAAGTCCCTCAGGAGGATGAGGCAGGATGTTCACCTGAGCCCAGGAACTTGAGGTTACAGGGAATTATGATGGAGACACTGCACTCTGGCAGCCTAGGTGACAAAGCAAAACTCTGTCTCTTAATAAGAACCCAAACCTCAATTTCTTTATGTGTAACAGTGTAAAACTGAGATGATAATGCCTACCTCACGTAGCTATCATGAAAACTAAGTGAGATAATACAGGCCAAAGCACTGGCATGTAGCAGACCCTTGACAACTACTTCCTTTGCTCTGCTTCTTCAAAACCTCCAAGCCGAGAGAATTTACTTGTCTACCCCCAAAGTTTACATTCAAGTGTTCAGGAAAGCAATGGCAAATCTTGACTATGTTCCAGTCGTTGGCACGTAATGCTGATGACTGCACACACCTGGACTTAACCATTCATTTCTTCTGATCCTCTTCTTATTACTAAATTCATTATTTCCTTCAGATTTCACATCCCTTAACACTTCACCTCATTGCTGCTGCCTCTGCCCGCAGAAAATCCCCACAGAGGAAGGATGATTACGTGACACTGCCTATGAGTCACTGCGCCATCATCCCTCCAATGACCTTTCTCTAGCTGTGCATCAAAATTCTGGGGCTTCCTAACACATTTGTCTGGACATCATCCCTCTCTAGCTTTCCTGCCTCACAGTTGCCCAGTGGGTGAGCCTCACTTTCACAGATAGATCTACTAGCTCAGAGAATTTTCATCTTCAAACATAGCTTTGTAATTGGCAAGGGGTGCTCTCAGCTCGCCTACTGTAATGAAACGAACAAAGCCCAGTCTGTGTCAGTGTGCTTTTAGTACACAAACAGCGTAGCTTATGCATTTTTAATGCTTAAGACAACATTAATACCAATTAGTAGGGCCAAAGAAGAGAATTAAAATACTTCTTCACAGATAACATCCTCTCTTTGATGACAAAGCTCATATATTTTACTATTGCTGATTCAACAAGGAAATGAATTCCTAGACAGTCAGGTCTGTATCTGGAAAGGCCAGCAAATGACTTTTCTTTGTGGATTCTAAAGCCATTTATCTTGAAGTCTTATGATTGGTTTTATTTGCCCATTAATTTTCTTTTCTTTTTCCTTTTGAGAAAGGGTCTCCTGAAGACCCAGCTACTCAGGAAGGACTCTATTGCCAGTACTAGAATGCAGTGGTCTCATCATAGCCCACTGCAACCTCAAACTTTTGGGGTGAAGTGATCATCTTGCCTTAGCCTCCTGAGTAGCTGAGACTACAAATGGGCACCAGCAGACTGGCTAATTTTTGTATTCTTTTTGTAGACACTGGTTTTTGCTCATGTTCAGGCTGGTCTCAAACTCATGGCCTCAAGCAATCTTCCTGCCTTGGCCCCCCCAAAGTACTAACATTACAGGGGCTTGAGCCGCTATGCCTGGCCTAATTTTCTTTTAATTTAGACAACTCACTACTTGCCTTTAGAATTGTTTTCCTCTCCACATGTACTAGGGAACAGCTACAGTAAAGTGTGATGCTCTTTTCTTCTGGGATTGCTTTGAAATGCACCAAGTTCTGGCCCTCCTTCCCTTGAATATGAGCACTCAAGGTCACCATGAATCTTATCATCCATTTGGGCAATACCTGAACAAATGGCTCTTCTTTCCCATTTGATTTTGTTTCTTAGTGAATTTCTTTTAAAACTATTACCTATCCCAGGTTCCCATATCCCTCTTCCTCTGCCCTCCACACCCATTTGAAGCTGTAGTAGTGGAGTGAAGTCTTTCTTACTTGGATTATTGTGTCCGGATGATACAAGCTGAGAGTCCTGAAAACAAACAAGAAGTATCAATTAATTTTCTAATTCTGACTTTTAAAAGTCAAGTAGAACACGAGATATATTACTAGTCTGGTCATTCAAAACAGATTCATAGCTTTGTTATTTTTGAGACAGAGTCTCAAGCTGTTGCCCTGGGGACCGGAGAGTGCTGTTGCATTACAGCTCACAGCAACCTCCAACTCCTGTGCTCAAGTGATTCTCCTGCCTCCGCCTCCAAAGTAGCTGGGACTACAGGCGCCTGCCACAATGCCCTGCTACTTTTTGGTTGCAGCCGTCACTGTTGTTTGGCAGGCCCGGGCTGCGTTCGAACCTGCCAGCTCGAATGTGGCTGGTGCCTTAGCTGCTTGAGCCATAGGCACTGAGCCAGATTCACAGCTCTTAATCTTTACTAGTTTCTGTATGAGAAACATTTACATGAATGTGCTTGTTAAGCAGTTTTGGGAATATACTTTCCAATCACTTTTATTTTGCATTACTTACTTACCGAGGTGACAATCACATAACATAAAATTAACCATTATAAAGTGAACAATTCAGCAGCAGTTAGTTCATTTACAATGTTGTGCGACTACTACCTCTATCCAGTTGTAAAATATTTCCATCACTCCAAAGTAAAAACCTTTATAAATTAAGTAATATCTTTCTATTTCCTTCACCCCTCAGCTCCTATCAACTACCAATTTCCATGTGTCTCTGTAGGTTGACTATTCTGGATATTTCATATTAATGGAACCACATGGTATGTAACATTTTGCGCCAGGCTTCTTCTCTTTTTTTTGGCTGAGGCTGGGTTTGAACCCATCACCTCTGATACATGGGGCTGGTGCCCTGCTCCTTTGAGCCACAGGCACTGCCCCCAGGCTTCTTTTACTTAGGATAATGTTTGGAAATTCATCAATACTCAAGTGTGTATCAGTACTTCATTCCTTTTTATGACTGTATAATATTCTTTTGTGTGTGTGTATAACAATTTGTTTATCCATTAATGAATAAGATTATTAATGAATCTTTGGGGCTGTTTCTACCTTTTGGATATTGTGAATACTGCTGCTGTTATAAACACATTATATACATGGACTTGTCTGAGTCCCTGTTTTTAATCCTTTGGGCATATCGCTATGGTGGAATATTTTGGTCTTATGGCAATATGTTAAACTTTTTGAGGAAATGCAAACTTGTTTTCCACAGAAGTGAAACCATTTTGCTTTCTATCAATAATATTGGAACATTTGCCAACTTTATTATTTTTCATTAAGAAAACTGTAGCTATCTTTGTGGGAATGAATTGATATCTCATTGTAGTTTTGATCTGTATTTCTCTAATAACTAAAGATGCTGAATTTTTTTTATGTGTTTGTTAGCCATTTGTATATCTTAGGAGAAATCTATAGTCAAAGTCCTTTGCCACTTTTCAAATTGAGTTGACAGTCTAGAAACTAGACCCTTATTAGATATGCAATATGATTTGCAAATATATTCTCCCATTCTATTCACTGTCTTTTAATTTTATTGATAATGTTTTTTGATATGTAAGTTTTAAATTTTGATAACATTTCATTTATCTAATTTTTCTTTTGTTGCTCATGCTTTTAGTGTAATATCCAAGAATCTACTGCCAAATCCAAGGTCATGAAGATTTAAACCTTTATTTTCTTATATGAGATTTATGGTTATAGTTTTCATATTTCATTCACTGATATGTTTATCTTTTGACTTTTAATACAACTCACTTTTTTTTGAGACAGAGTCTTTTTTTTTTTTTTTTTTTGAAACGGAGTCTCAAGCTATCCCCCTGGGTAGAGTGCCGTGGCATCACGCTCACAGCAACCTCCAACTCCTGGGCTCAAGCGAGTCTCCTACCTCAGCCTCCCAAGTAGCTGGGACCACAGGCGCCCATCACAACGCCTGGCCATTTTTTGGTTGCAGCCATCATTGTTGTTTGGCAGGCCCGGGCTTGGGATTCGAACCCGCCACCTTAGGTGTATGTGGCTGGCGCCTTAGCCGCTTGAGCCACAGGCGCTGAGCGTTGAGACAGAGTCTTATTATGTTGCCCTCAGTAGAGTGTTGTGGCATCACAGCTCACAGCAACCTCCAACTCTTGAGCTTAAGTGATTCTCTTGCCTGAGTCTTCCAAGTAGCTGGGACTACAGGTGCCTGACACAATGTCTGGCCATTTTTTGTTGCAGTTGTCATTGTTGCTTTAGCTGGCCAGGGCTGGGTTCGAACCTGCCACCCTCAGTGTATATGGCTGGGCGCCAAGCCTACAACTCACTTTTTTTTTTTTTTTTTTTGGCTGGGGCCGAGTTTTAACCCACCACTTCCGGTATATGGAGCCAGCACCCTACTCCTTTGAGCCACAGGTGCCGCCCTACAACTCACTTCTTGAAGGTACCTTCAGTTGTACCCACTTCCTCAAGATGAGGCTGGTAACATCCCATCAGAAACACTCTGTTGAACAACTCTTGTCAATCTCATGTTGGTGTATAAGAAGATTATTCCCCATATCCACTTATCTACAATTGCAAAAAGCCAGTGTTCTATAGTATTTTAAGTTTAGTTAATGCTTAGGAATAAATAAATCTTGAAACTGATTTTATTTGCATTCAAATAAAATGTGAAATTTTGACTTGAGGATTCACAATAAAAATTTGCTTTCCTTGCAAAATTCTCATTTAAAATAAAATGCAAGGGAGAATGATAAAAGAATGAATTAATAGAGATGACAGGAGTGTAAAAAAAGTTAAGTAACAGCATGTAAAATCCATCAAAACTCTTTTATACTTCTGGCACATGTAAGAAAAATCCAGTGAAATAAAATTAACTTCTAATATGTATATGGCTTTGGGCAGCGCCTGTGGCTCAAAGGAGTAGGGCTCTGGCCCTATATACCAGAGGTGGCGGGTTCAAACCCAGCCCTGGCCAAAAATTGCAAAAAAAAAAAAAAAATAATAATAATAATATGTATATGGTTTACCATTTTATCAGAATTTTTCTCCATGAATATAGTAGCTATTCGATGTGACTTGTGGCATGTTCAAATCCAAGTAATAATATCTGCCTTAAAAGGAATTTCACTGGAATAGTATGAAATAAGCCAGTCTGGTAGTTGAAGGCTGGATGGGAAAACTGGGAAGAGATGGGATTCTCACTCTATTAAACAGACTGAGTCATACACAGATGCCTATAACAAGCTATTCATCTAAAGGAAAAAGAACAAGTTCAGTTCTCACTTTGAGATTGTTTTTGGAAATGGACTTATGAAGAAGAAATATTGGTTCTGAATAATGGGCTCAAATATAATCTGCAAAAATAATTTTGGCCTCTCTTGGATAGATGCTGTGACATCAACAGTTAAATCCCCCACGTAAATTGGTGTGTTTCCTTCCCTTCTAATTAATTTAGAGTTTATAGCTGAGCATGAATTAGTTTTAGCTCTGACATGTGACAAAGACTCCGAGTCCAATTTGGTTAACTCCTCTCTGCTGTCTGGAGAGCTTGGCCCTTCAGAGGCGCCCTGTGCCAGGGAGGGAAACACTTACTCGCCACAGAATGCACAAAAATGGCAACCAAAGTAGTTTTTAGCATGAAGCCCATTCTTTTAAAAATAAAATGAAAAAGGAACAGTAGTACTTTTTCTAAGACAGTTTGCTGACACTAATGGGAAATCTAAGTTTTTATTTCTTGATGTATCCTAAAACTTAGGTGATGACTGTTGACCATAGACCCATCAGCAGTGAACCAAAGATGAGCTCACAGGTGGCCTGAATTATGATTATATACTGTAAAGCTACACATTCCACAGACAGTGACTTCAAATTTTAACCAAAATACCACTGTAATTAATGACTTACTATTTTATGTAGGGCATGAAGAGAGGCAGAAAATGATTAAAAGTATTTGGTACCCCTGGCCCCTCAAAGTCTCTGTAGGAGAAACAAGAATAAACTCAAATGCTTTGTCCCTAACATGTTTCCAGCTGACATCTTCTTGGTGGTACAATAAACCAACAAATGTGAGCTCCACTGACTCTAACCCCAATGTTCTGTGCCACTTTGGGGTATAAACAATGTCCCCTTATCATTCCTACTGGCATCTGGCCAGTGTGTGGCCAGTCTGCTAAGAGAGGGTACAGTTACCCTAATTGATGTGTGTACAAGTTCTTATAACCCAGGGCTGAAAGTGATGCCCTGTTACCCACAAGTGCTTCAGACTATGTATGCTGCCCTGCTTTCCTCTCCTTGAAACACATGTCCTGTCAGTGTTTTCTGCCTGGTAAACTTCACTCTTCCTTCAAAGCCTGGAACAAGTCAGCTCAAAGGTTACCTGCTCTTGGAAATCTTCCTGAATCTCAGGACAACTTATAATATGGAGTAGTTGCTTCTTTTTTTCACTGTCCTCTGTCATAACTCTATTATAGTAATTATCTTTTCAATGTTGGCTTTTTTCAAAAAAGGAAAGCTTTATTGAAGTATAAATTACATAAGCTTCACATATTTAAAGTCTATAATTTAATAATAAACGTCATGAAAAGAATGCTTCTTGTCTTGACCCAAAGAAGGCTCTGTAATACTTGTTCATGAAAGAAAATAGAGAAAATCAGGAAAATTAAAAAAAAAAAGAAGTTTCCTATAATCTCTTATGAGGATATTTCCAAGGTTAATCTGCTGCTTTTGGTTTGCCAGGGTCATTCATCAAGTATGTGATATTCTAATGGTCAAGTGCACAGAAGGGAGAACCAGTCCGGGCTCTCTCCTTGAAGAATGTCTACGCGTGAGAATTTATTCTTCTCCATCTGTAAGTCCTGAATTCTCAACACTATTCTGCTACAGTACTAAACTATTCTTTGCTACATAGACTCCTTTAAATGTGGTATTTAGCTAAGAAGAAAAGTTCATATAAATCATTTTGTTGAAGACAGAAATAACTAGGCTTACTGGTATATGAGAAAGCCCTTCAATGAAACACTGTAATAGAGACCATATTTCTTT